AGGGACTAACATCGACGTACATATTAGAAACCAAGGCATGTTCGTTGGAAATGTGTATTTGGCTCTCGCCTCGCGGTTCACGCAATGACTCCTTTGACTTGGTTTGCTTTAGTCTTGCGTATTTGATTAGGAGAAAAGCATGGTTTAATTTGCTGTTTGAAGTTCTCTCTGCATGTGCCTTCTCCATTGTGTATCCATGTGATGGCGATTTTAGCCATAGTTCTATCTACAGTGTCGAGCCGAAAGTCTCCATACACCCCCATGTTGGCACTACGGAACAGAATGCAGTTAGGGGACTGTATCGAGGCATATTAAGAAGACACTAGGTTCAAGACTATTCTATAGCTCGAGTGCTATGTTATGTTCACTTTAGGTCTATTTTATAAATGAGTTATTGATGTACTTTTAATACAAAGATACTAAGTCAGGACAGGTGTACGGAGGCTTTTGGCCTAAAACTGGAGACGCTCAGGATATGGCTACTTTGATCCTGCTGTGGTGTTAGTCTTGTTCGGAACCACTGCCTTGAATATCTCACCTTCTCAACCCCTCGGTCACAGTTGCTGGATCCTGCGTGTGCACAAGACGAAACCACCCGGGCGTTAGAGAATGCTCCTCCCTCGGGTGCAGAAACACACCGGCATCGACGAGCTTCCTCGCGAGGGCAAACTCGGCGTTGGCCTCGCCGGACAGGTCGGCGGGCAGGTGCGGCGATAAGTCGACCCAGACGAAGAAGCCGGCGTTGCTGCCGGGTAGGTATCCGACGCCGATGCCGTCGAGCCCGCGCGTGACGTGGGCGTGGGCGGCGGCGAGCCGGGCCCGCGACGAGTCGACAAAGGCGCGGCACCAGACCCGGTCCTCCAGCAGGGCGGCGCCCACGGCGAGGCTGGCGCCCGACGGGTTGTGGAAGCGCATAGCGGCCTCGACGGCTCGCAGCACCGGCCGGCTCCGCGTCACGACGGCGCCGAGCCGGAGGCCCGCCGCGCCAAAGTCCTTGCTGAGGCCGTACGTGACGTGCAGCAGCTCCGGGTCGATGACGCCTGCCGCTTCGATGGACAGCACCGATGTGAAGGGGACGGCGAGAGGGTCATCGGTTGGGAAGACGGAGCATGCGTAGATTTCGTCGCTCAGGAGGTGCAGGCGGTGGGCTTGACAGAATTGCATGATTTTGATGAGCGTGCCTCTGGGGTAGCATTTCCCTGTTGCTCTGTGAGTCTTGTATGCAGAAGAGCTGGGGGGATATCAGGAACGTGATGCTCACCCAAGGGGTTGTTGGGATTGACGATCAAAACCATCTTAACCTCGACGCCCTCCGCCGCCGCACGAACCAATGCTTCCTCGAAGCGATCCACGACATCCTCGTCGAAGCAGTCCTCGTGGCTCGTCTCTGCGTACACGACGCGGGCCTGCGACTTGTTGCCAAAGTCGAGCTCGAAGCGGCCGTAGACGGGCCGACTGGTCAGCACGGCGTCGCCCGGGTCGGCCACGGCCCAGGCGAGCACGTCGTGCATGGCCGTCGCTGCACCGACGCACCGGATGTCGCCCGGCTCGATGGCCGTGTGCGGCCGCAGGTACTCGTTGAGGTGCGTCGCGAGGGCTCGCGGGAATCGGGCGCCGCCGGCTTGCGTGCTGCTGTAGAGGAAGTCTGGGGCTGAGAGCGTGGTCTATCCGCGATGTCCGTGTAAGTGATATCGCCGCCACGGATTCTTCTAACGTAAAGGCGTGAGTGGGCGGTTTGTCTCATCCAACTTACATGCTTCTGCGCAAAGTCCACCACATCTTCGGTAACCAGCATCTATACACACGGGTCAGAACCCGATCCCCTATGTACGGCGCCATGCCAACTCACATTCTCAGCGGTAGCAAAGGAAATAATTCCAGAAGGATTGTCACTTGGGTGGTATTGTGCCCGCGGAGCGAATCTCCATGGCCAATCCAACGTCTTCACAGTTTCTGTGGCTCGCTTGGAGAGAAATTCGGTCATCGTGTAGGTTTATATCGTATGCTCTTCAAACCCTCCTCTCTTAGCAGATTTTAGTTTGAGTACGGAATGCCTTCAGCTCTCAGGTCGTTGAATGCTGCACTCCTGGGAGGGGTTGATGAGTCATCTGAATATTCCCTCATATTCTCTCACAGGTTTCTGAACATGGCAACTTATTGTCGTTTGAGGGGTCGTTGAGAAATCTCCAGGAGTCTTGCGCTTCAATATCAACTTCAGATCACAAACCCTAAAACAAGTTTTATTCAGTGGCCGAAAGCATCGACGTAACCTAGCCCCCAAAACTCACCGACCATTTGCACAAGAATGATGATGGAACTGTTCGAAAAGTATTCAAAATCCGACTCCTAAAATGCTACAACCCGCTATGATGATATCCCAACTCCAGTAGCCAACCAGTCTATGTGTAAAGCCGTGTTCTAATACTTAGACGCTCAACTTCTCTAAACCCATGGTAAAGTCCTCCACCTCGATTCCTCGGAATCCTTCCTCGACAACCCATGTCCGGCCCTTCTCCTTGCTGTGGAGGAACTCGCAGGCCCTTCCGACAACCAACAGGCCCGGCGGCCGGCTGCCTTCAGCCTCGATAGCCTCGGCGACGTGCTCAAGCGTCGTGCGGATGACCCGCTGGTCGGGGCAGCTGGCACGCTCAATGACGGCGCAGGGTGTGTTGCCCGGCCACAGATCGCGCTTGCTCCCGCCCAAGAGGGCTGGAGCCTCTCCCAGGGGTAGGGAAAGCGGCTGGTCGGTTGTGGTATCAGTAGGTGTGGCAGGGGCTTCCAGCTCAATGGGCGTGGTGAGCTCGCGAACAAGACCAACGATGCGGTGCAGGGCCATGAGGAAGACGACGGTGCGGCTTGGCACATACTCGGGGGGCGTTGGCGCCTTGCCCTTCTTTCCGGTGCCGGTGCAGATGAGAACCTGGTCGGCGACATCGCGCTGGGTAGGCGGGATGGCGGCAAACAGGGGCGCACTGAGAGCGCTGGTGATGCCAGGGAGGACCGAGACGCGGTCGCCGAGACCGTGCTCACGGAAGTAGGCCACCTCCTCGCCGCCGCGGCCGTAAATGAACGGGTCTCCCTGCTTAAGGCGGAGCACCGTCTTGCCCTCCTGGACGCCGGCGAGGGCCATCTCGAGCAGCTCCTCCTGGGCGCGTTCGGCGTTGCCCGGGAACTTGCGGGCGATCTGGACCGGCGTGCGGCGGGGGATCAAGTCGAGGACGCCGGCTGGCACCAGCTTGTCGGCGAGGATCAGGTCGGCCGACTTGATGGCCTTGTGGGTGGCCTGAGTGAGGAGGTCGGGATGGCCGGGCCCGCTGCCGGCGAGGATAATGCTGCCAACCCGCTTCTCGGCTGGCGGGTTGGGCTTCACGTCTGGGCCTGTAGAACCGTGGTATGACTTGAGGACGGATTCGACATCGTCGTCAGAGATGGCTGCGAGGCGCTTAAGGGGCCAGTACTCGCACACCTGACCAAGCCAGCGGATACGGCGATTTTTGGCGTCCTCGTCGGTGACAAGGCGGTTGAAGTGAGCGCCCTGGTCGACAGAATCCTCGAGGGAGGACTCATCCTGGGCCAGAGAGTCCTCGTTATGGATGCGTCGGCGGGCGTCGCCCAGGCGAGCGCAGGCATGGCCGAGGTTCGCGGGCAGTAGGGCGGCGATTTCGCGACGGATGCGCGAGGCGAGCTTGCAGCCACGGCCGTTGGTAGTGACGCCGATCTGGAGAGGGCCGTCGGTATGGGTGGAGAGCAGCGAGAAGGTGCACAGAAGGGGGGCGTCGACGACGTTTACGGGGATGCGATGACGCCTACACAGCTTCGAAATATGTTGGCCTTGGCACAAGAGGTCAGTTTGATGCCATACTCGGCATACGGCAGACAGCCACACTCACTCAAAGGATCGCGGGGCCCAGAGGTGACAAAGACGGCGTCCACAACGCCGTCGACCTCCTCGCGGCCGAGCTGCAGCAAGTCCGCATCTTCAAAGGCCTTCTTGCACCACTTGACCTGGCCGTCGTCGATGCGCTTCTGCAGGCTGTAGTGAAGCTCCGAGCCCTCGGGGGCCACGAGGATGGGTCGCGCGCCGGCGTTGAGCGACTGACCGCAGCGGGAGGCGGCGAGGGGGTTGGTCCCGACGACGAGGTGGATGCTGCCTCTGCAATTGAGGGCAGCGAGAAGTGAAGTCGGTGATGTCTCCATCTTGACAATGTGTGTTGGTATTGTGCGTGTGAGTGCAAGAGACACCAATTTTTGTATTGGTCGTGGTCCCAGGTGTAGCTTCAACGGCAGCGTCCTGACTCGCGAGTATTCCGGAACGGGAACTGCTCGTCTTGCGAAGCACTCAAATGATGATGCTCCGACGACAGCGCAAAGTAGGCAATGGGTGAAATAAAGTACCCTCTCGACGTCAACTCGAGCAGTCCGAACCAGACTCCCGCTGGCTTATAAAAGACGGCGCATTACCAAAAACACTGGGACCCTGGCCCGCCGCCCGCAGAAAAGTAGGCGCCCCACACACACATTTTGGCAGTCTCCAGGGCCGTTGAACCCCTCCCCCTCACACGCCCTCTCCAGAGCCTTTCACCACCCAAAAACTTCGGCTTCCTCATCCTAGCTCGCGTTGACGCCATTGCAATCAGTGGGTCTGGTGCCCTATCAAGGCCTTCGGTCTGTCGGCGTCCCGCCCGCAGCGGCTGCCAAACTGTCGCTCACTCCACCGCCGACTTCCGCGGCACCGCAACCGGAGATGTCGAAATCCCGCTCGCGTGTCTGGTGAGGTGATGATAGGAGATGCAGAATCCCCAGGTCAGGCCTTATCTCGGCATGTCAACCCCTCCCACGTGACGCCCAACCAACCCCTCGGTTTCTTATCGGGATAAGGTATGCAACCCCACTATGCAGGGGAAAAAAAGTTGCGTCCAGAACACCATCATGTCCGCGGAAGACGTCCACAGTCGCAAAAAGAAAGCCTCGCAATCGCTCGCAATCGAATGTATAGGAATAGCCCGATGCGGGGGTCGAACCCGCAACCTTGAGATTGTGAATTCTAGTAAGAGTCTCACGCTCTACCGATTGAGCTAACCGGGCGTGGCACTTGTTTGATGAAGGCTGGTCGATGCACAATCGTCTCATCAACTCGCACAGGTCCTGGCGGCAACGGACGAAAATTTTCATGAGGGTACGGTGGATACGGTCCACCAGCATTGCGGGCTGACCCACACCATTGAGGACGAGTGTGATTACCTCAGTTAATGTGACTGTGGTTGTGAGGAACAGTCAGGTTGTCTCTGACAGCTCAAACGGAAAGACTGAGCCTCTGATGCTGGTGGTGTTGAGATCTATTATATATCGTTTGACACGTTTCGACGTAAACGCCCCTCCCTCGTACGTTACAATACCCATACATCCATACCTCGACATCCTTGCCGTTGCTTTTGTACACTCCGGTATTTTACAGGTCGTTTCATTATACAACTCATCTTCGCCGTCCTTGCTGCCTGTCCTCTCGCTCAAGTTCAGCCTCAACCTCTTCCTCCATCTGCTTCTCAATAATCTTCTCTTCTTCTTCCTCAGCCGCCATCAACTCCTTGATCAGATCCTGTTTTCGGTTCTGCCTGTTGTTGGCTCGCCTCTCTCGGGGCGCATTCTTCTCTCCGGCGTTGATACCGCCAGGTCCCATGGTGATCTCCACCCGGCGCGGCTTTCCTCCCTGGCCGGCTCGCTTTCCGCCATCGTCTGGTCCACGACCAGCACGAGCTTCGCGTGGAACCCGTGTCTTGGCACCCAAAGCCCACAAGTCTCCCCATCGTGACTTGCGCGCATCGTGATATGCCAGCTTGCTAAAGCTCTTTGGCACAGTCCACCGTTCCAGCCGTCCCTCGGGCGTACAAAGGTCAAGTGTCACATGTCCCTTGCGCTTCAAAGGGCGCAAAATCGTTCGCGGAAGAGTTCCCATATCTGGCATCTCGTCTGCCTTCTCGAAGCCTTTGAACGCTGAAATCGTAGCATCCTTGCCTGTCAACGGGCTCTTCTTCGAGACCCCTCGGCGGATAGCTACATAGCTGAAGTCGACGTCGCCTTGATTATGCTGGCCCGAGCCAAGCACTCGGCTGTAGAAGTTGGGGCGGACAAATCGCTGGTTGAACGAGCAAAAGTCTTTGCGTCCGCGACTCTTTCCGGGGATCTGATACATTGGGCAAACGCCTTGGTTGGTGCAAGGCGCAACCACATAGCCGGGTTCTCGCTCCCGCTGGTAAGCCGGGTTTGGGTTCTCTGGTACGTTGTCGGGTTCCCCTAATTGGGGTTGGAGGAATTGCTTGAGAACCGTGTCTCGAACATGGGCCACAGCCTCGAAGCCTCGAGGATGGGCTTTCTCAACGACAATCAGGATTCCATCATCTTTGTTCAGGAGACTCCACAGGTTGTTAAGGACTGCCTGTCGATAATGGTCCTGCTCTTGTCCAAGGAATAGGTGTGATGCGATGATGACGTCGAAGTTCTTCCGCTGTTGCGGCTTGTCTCCAGCATCGAGATGCCCACCGCGCATCTCTCCCGAATGCTCATAGTCAGGCAGTCTAGGCAAAAACGTCGTATTGTCCAGAAACGTTTTTACACGATGTCGTAGTCGGTCCGATCCCACCACAACACTCCTCTTGCCAGGCGGGTCAGAACCGTTGACGTCCCCCTTGTCTTTGAGGAGATCCCACTCAGCTCGGATGATCTCATCCCACGCAACCAAACCCGCACCGCCCGATCCAGCGTCCAGGATATTGAGTCCTCCTGCCTTCAGCTTCGATTGCAGCCACTCAGTCCCAACCCGCTTTCGCACCTCCTTCAGGATTGACATGCTGGTTGCATATGATGGAGGCAGCGATCCAGCGATGAAAGCATCCGCCTCAATCTCAGTCATATGCCGCTCGTCTGCTGGCAGACCGACTCCTTTCATCGGACCAGTTTTGTTCCATGATGGTGTTGCAGGGGAGTTAGGTAAACCCGGCCCGCCAAAAGCTATTTCGGCCGCCTTCTTGACATGGTCGATGTGGGCTCTGTCCAAAAGATCGCGGACAGGGTTGACCAGCTGATCTCGAGGGAGAACAAGTTCAACTAAGTCGTCGTAAAATCGACCCTCCACTGAGAAAGGGTGGAATCGGCGTACATCAGCCAACTCTCTTTGGCTATACTCCTCCTCTTCCGGCCAAGTCTTTGCCTCCTCGATTTGTCGTTCCTGCTCTTCCTCCTCCTTTACTGCCGCCTTGTGCTCAGCGTCACGCTGCTTCTTCTTGCTGACCTCAAAGTCTTCGGCAAGTCTCTGCATCGCATCGTATTCTCTCTGGTTCCTTGCAACTAGCTCGACATACCCGGGAGTCCGATGAGCCAAGAATTCCGACCCGGGCTCGTCAATGTGTTCCTCAGCGACGTCATTGTCGGCGGCTTCTCCCTCGGCGCGGGGGATTTCGTAAGAGATCTCCTCAAACTCGCCCTCACCAAGCTCCCGGATTACAGTTCCTTCGTTATCCGGTCGTGGGGTTTGCGGCCCCATGTCGGCATGGGTGTCGATGCCGACATCTTCAGGCAGAGTCTCTCGTAACGGTGGTCCGTACAATCGTTCGTACAGAGCATATTCCTCCGGGTTCAGGTAACCCTTGGGCAGTGTATCTCGGAATCTTTGCTTGGCATCTCGCACGACTTGTTCGATTTCCTCGGGGGATTGGCCTGGAGCAGGCGCGGGGGCGGCGCCGTCCTGTCGCAAAGATCTCGAGGTCGAAAATGATTGTGTAATTGCCGGGCTCTTATTGGTTTGAGTAGAACGGGAGAGAGAAACGGGATGAGATCGAGCGAAGGAAGGATTGGAAACGGGAAAACGGTGTGCGATTAGTTTGGCAGACAGATTACGTCCTGGACAGGCATTCCGGATGCCTCGTGCGGATAACATCTTGGCATGACAGATTTGGTGGTTGAACGATTTCAATGAGCGGTCCGCATCTTCTTGAACTTTTTTTCGACCATTGCACTGTCGCGCTGTCACGTGATGCACTCACTGGTTACACTCATGACTGTGGCCGAATGGTCGTATGGCCTGAAGTAGAGCAAGTTGTACAATGAGGTTATGATGATGATTTAATCCATCATGAGGTAATGATCAATTGATCAGACAGAGAGTCAAAACTCTCATCATAACTAGATTACAAAAGTTGTTCTGATTCAGGCTTGAAGTAGGTTGGGTTGAATGGGTGCAAGGATGATGCTCTAGCTGGGAGGTACAGTTCCAGAGCCCAAGAACTGAACCAGCACACAGTGTCGTGACAGGCCGGACGGCCGTCCGTCGCACTCATGAGTTTGATAATCAAGAACCTCATTCGCTTGAGGCAAGAAATATCTCGAGAAGTCATAGGCCGAATCCCAGGCCCCTCTACCGACCAGAAGCAGATCAGGCTCAGAGGCCTGTTCTCCACGAGATGGAGGCCTAAGTCTCAGGAATCAGATGGGCAGCTACAATCACTACAGCCTTCCATATGGGGAGATGTGTTGAAGTGAATTCAAGATGTTCACTAAGAAATACCAATTCAAGAAGAACTCATTCTTTTAATGAGCGGCGTAATGATTAATCGGACATCACTCGTCGCCTGAACAGCCATCTAATGGAACAAGATCATAACATCATCAGTAAAAGATGGGTTTTCGAAAGAGACGAAAATGACTGTAGAGAGAATATAACGCCAATAGAATGTCTGCCAGAAATACAAATCCCGTCCACACTGAATGAACCCTCTCAACGCCTAACATTAATCACTCTGTTGGTACTCGGAATTCCATCATTCACCACCGAGATCTGCCAGCGTCTTAAACGCAGGCTTCTGGGCGGGGGCCTTCGCGCCGCCAGGACCAGGTTTCGCAATGTTGTTTTGTTGTTGTACTGGCTTGTGAGTGTTGAACATAGACTTCTCCGCTGCCTTGTAGGGATCAAACTTGTCACTAGTTAGCCTCGTCACTGCCATTCTTGATATGGTTCACCTACTGAGAACAGAGACACCAGGTAGAGTCCCACGAATACGACCAGCGCATTGAGCAACCGACCAAAGCCCCACGATGATGAGGAAGTGACAGCCGCCACGCGAGCGCGAACGGGTAGAGCCCCAGGGCCAGCTCCGCCGGAAGCCTGCGGGAGACCTTCACCACCGAGCTTCCGACCTGGATTTTGGAAGACGTCGCCTCCTCCGCCTGTGCCGCCGAGCTTTATAGCATTCATGATGGCCTGTGTCAGGGCAGGCGGGTTCGCACCCTTGATGGTCTCGACGCAGTTGCCGCCGTGGAAGATCTTGAAGGTCGGCATGGCGGAGACGCCCTGGGCGCGGGAGATGGTGGACTGCGAGTCAACGTTGACCTTGACGAAAGCCACCTTCTTGGGGCGCGAGTGTTCCTTTGCGAGCTTCTCAAAGTGCGGGGCGATCATCTTGCAGGGACCGCACCAGTCGGCGTAGACTATCGCGTGCGTGTTAGTTGCGCTGAGCTGCGAGAACGGAGGGGCCGGCAATTACAATCTGCGATGACGACATTGGTGCCAGAAAGCAAGCTCTGCCATTCGGCGTTTGATCCGATGTTGATAGCCATGATAGCGATGTTTGATCTTGTGTCCGCGACGTTGTAGAAGAGTAGTGGTGCCTGGAATGTCGAAAGAAGCCAGATCTGGGTGCATTAGTTGGTGTTCAAGGCCGGATCTGCTGACCAAGCTGCGGTGCAAACGCCGGATATGGCAGGCGGTGTCCGACGTGTGCGATTTCTGCCAATGCCCATTAGCTCATGCCCCCACGCACCAAGCGGTCCTAGCGTCCATGACGATCACAAGTCAGATCTGAGTTGATCGACCTAGAAAAGTCCCGAAGAATTTACGACGCAGCATCTCCTGCTGTGAACTCCTGCATCTTCTTACGGCCTACAAGATGTCTCCTTCATGCTGGACTCTCACTGTGTCAATCTCCTTCTTATTGGGTTACCAAGCGCCAGGTTCATCTCAAGCTCAGCACTCACTCACTCCATCCAAGCCCAAGCGAACGCGAAGCAGTGTCTTCAATATTTTCGGGCCCCCTGAT